TTCAGCTCATGATGCTTGTGACCTGAGCAATTGGTTGGCCTGCTGCCTCCTGAGGAGGCTCAGCCAGACCCAGTGTTGACAGCCAAGCTCAGGGCACTGCTCAGTGATGCAGCCCTAGGGAAAGGTTATAAATTCCCCCATCCAACACTTGATCTGCAGGCTTCACTGCCACTGACAGCCCACAGCCTGGGTGGCCTTGTGTGGCTGTGACCTGGTAGGACACCCTAGCGGGTATGGTTATCTTCTTGGGATCAAGGCTGTTCAGGTATGTTTGTGGAATAAGGTACCTGAATCACTTCTCCAAGCCCAGAGTGGGACACAGAGGGGCACACAGCAAGGTGACTCTTCTAAGAGCTTCATTTGGCGAGCAGGGGACACAGGCTTCCTCACCTTCTGCCTGAAGGCCCTCATTCTGGACCCTCTAAAGGAGAGCTGGAGAGCAACTCGAGGTTCATTCTGAGATTTGTCTGCAGTTTCTGCCTATTCAGGAGCTGGCAAAGGTTATAAAGTGACAGAGACCTTAGAGGCCACCATGTCCTCATCACAGGGGCACTGCCCTATTAGCCCTGCAGGAAGCCCAGCTGGCTGTACCTTTCGGATGGCAGTGAACACTACCCCAGAAGACTGCGGGAAGGCAGAGAGGAGCCCCCAGCCTGGGCATGAACATATTGTCCTGTTACTGGCAAGCACCCAAGGCTTCATCTGCTAGGATGGCCCTTGGCACTGTGCCATCAGAACTGAGCTAAGCTGAGGGCCCTCACTGGTCCTGAAAGGACACTGTCCATTCCATCTTTCATGGATGGATTCCCAGCTATAGGAATGAGAATCCCTGGACACCTCCATTCTCTTATTCAGCCCACAGTGACCAAGAAAGAGACTGAAGATCTGACTGGCTATGCCAGGCAGTCAGATCAGCCTAGGTTGTGCTCAGAGGGAAGGCTCTGGCCAGGGGAAGAGAGAGATTTGAATAGAAATGAGCTTCATTGGAACCAACAGTTGGCATAATGGTTATGTCACTGGACTCCCATGTAGTCGACTGTGGTTTGGATCCGGTGGCTTAAACTCACACCAGGCACGTGTGTGTGCATGCCCAAGATCCTGAGAGGAGAAGGGATTGTGGCGTGGCCATCCCTCCTGGGGGGTGATTTCTTGTTTTTTATCTCTCTGTCTCTCTCTCTCTCTTTCTGGTGAGCACATGCGCCCTATAGTAAAAACTTCTCCCAAAAAAGAAAGAAAAAAGAAATGAGCTTCTTCATTTTGTGAGCACTATCAAGTTCACTATCAAAGATCTCTTTCACATGACACTTACTTGACCAAAGTCTTTAACCAATCTTGTTGGTTCCACTTGGCATTCAAGGCCCTCCACAACTTGGCTTCCAACTGCCAACCGCTTTATTTCCTTCCCCCCCTCCTCTCCAGCCCGAGTAGTGCCCACAGTGACCAAGAAAGAGACTGAAGATCTGACTGGCTATGCCAGGCAGTCAGATCAGCCTAGGTTGTGCTCAGAGGGAAGGCTCTGGCCAGGGGAAGAGAGAGATTTGAATAGAAATGAGCTTCATTGGAACCAACAGTTGGCATAATGGTTATGTCACTGGACTCCCATGTAGTCGACTGTGGTTTGGATCCGGTGGCTTAAACTCACACCAGGCACGTGTGTGTGCATGCCCAAGATCCTGAGAGGAGAAGGGATTGTGGCGTGGCCATCCCTCCTGGGGGGTGATTTCTTGTTTTTTATCTCTCTGTCTCTCTCTCTCTCTTTCTGGTGAGCACATGCGCCCTATAGTAAAAACTTCTCCCAAAAAAGAAAGAAAAAAGAAATGAGCTTCTTCATTTTGTGAGCACTATCAAGTTCACTATCAAAGATCTCTTTCACATGACACTTACTTGACCAAAGTCTTTAACCAATCTTGTTGGTTCCACTTGGCATTCAAGGCCCTCCACAACTTGGCTTCCAACTGCCAACCGCTTTATTTCCTTCCCCCCCTCCTCTCCAGCCAGAGTAGTGAATAGCCGTGGTAATAATAACAACATATGTACGTGTGCAGCAATTTCTACACCAAGCTCTCTGAGGTAGAGATTGCCCTCTTCATTTTACAGATGGCTCAGAGATGTTAACCCACTTGCTTAAAGTCACATAGCTAGTAAATAATGGAGATACAACTCATGTCTGAGTTTCTGCTTTCCAAATTCTCTGCTTTTCCACTCTACTCATGGTCTGGGGACAGCCCTAGAGAAGGGTTCTAGAATGTGACATACATATTTACTTGCTGGGATCTTCTCTTCACTATCCAGCATGAATTAAACCAAATGTTATTCTGGCACACCTACTGTGTGTTTGACCAAAAGGGTTAACCCCCCCAAAGATACATGATCTCCTTTCACTGTGATAAAAAGACATCTAATAGCACCTGCTGAGCCAAAAGTACATATTCCAACATGCCTTCATCTCTGTTGGACTGTATGACTGAGTTTTGGCTGATGGATGAGAGCAGAAGTATTATTTGCCACTTCTAGACTTGGTCCTTAAACACCCACCTTGCTATTCACTATACCAGCTTTTCTGGGAGAGAATTAAACTCTACCAACATGCTTTGAGTGGCTTTCAGAGAATGATACTTAGGGCTATTCTACATGCATAGGAAAGAAGTTGACTTGTTAGATAGGATGTATACCTTAGGGCATTAGGACTTCATTTTCTCAGGGAACTGGGTTGAGGAGGGCTGCTTCCCTTCCTTGTCTGTTGGGTATAAATCAACCCCCAGAGTGACTTTAGAAGCCACTTGCTGAAGCCAGTAGAGTTTGTCAACCTGAGTCCTTGAATGACTGTATGGAACAGAGCCACCACACCCCCACTCCAGGGCAGGACTTGATGTTAAATAAGAAATAATACCTTTAAATTATGTCAAGCTACTGACATTTTGGGGTGCATTTGTCTTTAGTACCTAATGGTATCTTAATTAATTAATTAATGCTATCTTCAGTTAATTCAGGAGTTAATAAATTCCAAGCTAGGTTGGGAGCTTGGCTGTCTGACACAAGGCCTTCTACAGGTCCCAGCTGACACACTTTTCCCCATAGTCTGGCAGGCAATCTTATGGGTCCCTGTGTGAAGTCCAAGAGGACTGATGCCTCCAGATTAAAAAAAATATGAGACTGACGGAGGAGGCCTGCACAGGAGAACAACTGAGTGAGAAACAGAACTGAACCCATGTGCAAGGCAGATTGGCAGGTCTCAAGTGCCTGAGGGTTTAAGAACTGACCAAGGAAGTCAGACAGAGCTATGCCTGTCTGTCACCTAGGATTCAGTAAGATAGTCCAGAAGCCTGCATCCTTAACAAGCTCTGATGCTGATGGCAGGAGGACCACACTTTGAGAACCACCATTGTAAGGCTTAATAACTACGTGCTCCATTCATCACATCTGGAAAATTTTACATGCAACTGTCCTCAAACCCAGCTTCTCGGTGCTACGAGGCCAGGAGAGATGCTTTCTGAGGGACTCTGCACCAAATAAGACAGAGGGAAAGGTGAGAGTCAAGGAGAGAGTGACTTGCTTAAAATCAGCTACTGTAAGTGAGCATTGGAACTGGGCCCATCTCTGAGGCTCATCTTTGAGCGGGGTGGGGTGTGGGGGGTGTGGGGTGTGGTAAGAAATGGGAGCTACTTTGGGAGGAGGGACACATGGGGGTAGTAGACCTTTCTACCCTGCACAAACCCCTGCTACTGCGGATCAGCCCTCAGGTGTTGGGGCTGCCTGCTCTAGCAAACCATTTGTTTTCCAGACCTTCTGCTCTCTAAACTCCCCAGCTCCCTCCCCCCACTCTCAGCTTCTTAGAAAAGCAGGCTTAACCTCTGAGTATCTTCCTAACAATGGAGTAAATGGAATAGGGCTATCTCTAATCTATCCACCCTTGCCTCCCTCCAGTCAAGGTGGCCCAAGGGGAGCTGGAGCAGTGGTTTCTGGCAGCTGCAAAGCCTGTGCCTAGGACCATCCTGTGCTTAGCCCAAGAGGGCAGAGGTTACACAGCAGGCTGACCCACACCAGCCTGGGCAGTCTGGTCAAACTAGTCAAGCAGCTCGGAAACGGCTAGGGCTTGTTTAACTGCCTCCTCCACTTTCAATCGATGCTAATACCCCACCTGCTAGCATAGGTGCACAGAGATCAGGGTCCAGTTTTCCAAACACAAGAGAGGGCTCCTCACATGTCAGCCTCAAGTGTACGCGGAGGTACCTGGCAGGGCACCTTCGTAAATAGTCGTGATTGCTTCGAAAGGCCACCAACAGCAAAGACAGCAAAACAGCAGGAGAAGCCCTCCCACCACACACACACACACCACCACCACCACCAAGCACTTCGAAAAACACGCTTTGGGTGCACCCAACTTAATTAGAAACGAGTGTGCATATGCAAACGACCGGAGTGGGGCGTCTGCTCTGCCCAAAGCCAGCCCCAGATGTCTGGGGGGGGCTGCA